GGAAACAAGATATCAATCATTGGCATGGGCAAGTAATTTTAGCGAGTTTTTCACATGTTGTATTTTACAATAATGCAACTAATGAACTTTTTACTAACAGAAAATAGTACTATACTTTAAAAAAAAATTTTAATTTTTTTTTAAGTTTTTAAATTATTAAATTTAAATATATGATTCGGCTAATCTAGGGCACAAATGCGACCAAATGCTGAAAACCCGAGGTTCATCGGCTAATTATTGGCTGAGGAAAAAGATACGGCAAAATATGGAACGAAGACGAAGACGAAATTTGCGTCCTAATACTGCTTTTTTTACACTACGTGAAAAATGCGTTAAAAATAATAAAGTACATGCTGTAGGTTTAATTTCTGTAGATTTAATTTCTCTCTGTACACGCTATAGATTCTAATGAGAACATTTTTAAAAATATAAAAATCTTTTTTAACGAATTATACATTGCTTGACAATTGCTAAGGAACAGTTACGTTTCTCGGAATAATTCAGAATAGACAGTGATTGAAGAAATAAAACTAAGTACATATATAGTAAGGACGATGTGCATTTATTTTAGAGCAATACAGATATCGCTTCATCGAAGAATTAAAAACTTAAAAATAAAAAAAGATGTTGCTTGGATAAATTCTAAACAGCCACTAAAAATTTATTTTCAGGTCAAAATGATGCAGACATGAGTACCTTAGTAAGATGTGTGTTCACCGCGGACCCCAATGCACATTCTGCACTGTTCACCATGCTCTTCAGTAAACTTTCGAAGAGTCCTTTTGGGATATTGTCCCACTCCTCGCTCAAGGTGGTTTTGAACTCTCGCACTGTTTGGGGAGGGTTGGTTCTTCGTGCAACACGTCTACCAAAAACATCCTAGGCATGTTCAATAGGATTTAGGTCGGGTGAGTAAGCAGGTCATTGCATAAGGAGAATATTTTCACTTTGCAGTGTGTCCGATACCTCAACACTTCTGGGGGCTGCGCATTATCGTCCATAGACAGAAAGTCTGGACCTACACGGCACCCCTATAAATACGAACATTATCCAGAATAATCTCTCTGCAATACTGTTGCGATGTAACGCTTCTTCGCTCAAAGATATGAAGCAGTGTTCTGCCATTGTGCATGATGTCTGCCCACACCATCACGCCTGGACCGTAATGATTACGTTCACCAATAAACTTTTGTGCATAACGTATTCCACGTTCTCTCCACAATAATTGGTGACCAGAATCACTTTTCATACTAAAACAATATTCATCGGAGGACATCACGCTAGACCAATTCTTGTGATTCTAACCGACATATTCCTTACACCAGCGTAATCTCTCTCGACGATGGTATGGTTGAAGTGGGACGCAACGAACAGGCTTCCGTGCATACAAACCAACTTGATTTAACTGCCGTGAGATGGTTTTCGCTAAGACATGTGTTTCGGTAGCAGTTGCAAGGTTTGCAGCTATCAACCAGTATTGAAATTTCTGTTCCTTTTTGCCACGAGGACCACATAACGATCCCCTGAAGGTGTGGTGTTCCTACTACGCCCCCCCCCCCGGCATGATTTCGCAAAGCATTGCCACATCTTCAGTGACCTTCCTTAGTAGCGAAATGAAAGTCTTTGATACGCCCATAGCATCAGCTGCAGTGGTGACACTTTGACTTGCTTCCAGTCGTCCAACTGCTCTTCCACGATCGTAGACACTCAAATGATGTCTTGTTGATATTTTGCTCTTAATTATTGTAAGAATCAAACAGAATTTCAGAGACAAACTTTTATAACATCCAGCACAATTTTCGTCAAACATCAAACAGCATGAATTTCCGAATTAATCGTGAGCTTGTATGCGCTGTCTTTTATACAGGTAACGAGTCCTGGTATACCACGCCCTCTGAACTTGAATTTACTTTTATTGGTCAGCTGTCTGAGACATTTTTGCATAAATCACTTGCTCCTCCTGTCAAGTAGTGTATATCATATTTTAAAATTTTTTTCATTATATAATTAGAATTGCTGTTACTTTCAAAAATCTAATTACTGTCGTGATCGCTGTAGCCTAGATATTATAGTCACGAATTCGTAGCCGGAATGTCACGAGTTCGATTCCTCATACTGCCTAGGACTCACCATGTACAGGACCCTGGTGCACGTTTCAATCTGTTGAAGCTCAATGTCTTCCCTTGGTGTGGTAGGGTAGTTAGGAGAACGGGTACCTGCTCCGGCGTCGTCCTCTTCGGTTGATCGAGGTTCAAAATTATGAGGTCCGTCACAAATAGCTCTTGTTTTGCTTTATAGTACGACGTTAATATCCTCACTCTCTAAATACAGTCCATTTAATTTATTTGTAATTACATTTCGTGCTCAATCAGAAGTTTGAAAACCCTTTTTCTCAAAAGACACTTTAAATTAAAAACTTCGAGTTATACTATCAAGAGAGAGAGTAAAACAGAGAATGTACTGTGAATAACAGGAAAATGAAACGGAGTTAAAGGCACCATTTTATTTATGTGCTTAGTGTTTGTCTTTCGACTGAATGTGTAATTAATTTGATGAAACTCCCATATTTCAAAAAATCAACAAAGCCTTAAGAATTTAAGTAAATGGACGCTGTATCGTATTCCTGAAGTTAATTATTTTTAAAGTGAACGTGACTTTATTTGCATTAGAATTTAAAAGGTTTGAATATTTTGTCACCTATGCATTTTCCAAGACGAATTCGTGACATTTTCTGGCAACAGCGGATCATAAAATATTGGATAAAAGAATTCATTTTAATGATTTTCTTTTACATTTTAAGCAGCAAACGACATCGAATTAATTACTCTACTTAAAATCGATTAATATATAAGCAATGAGTAATTGTATCATTTTTTTTCAAGAAATGGGGATTAAAATTTCATTTAAAATACATTTTCATTCCATAGGGCAAAGCACTTCAAAAATGAATTTTATTCAAAATGTTTAAAATGTTTCAGAATTTCTCAACCTTGAAAAAATATCTAGAGTATAAATATTTCAAACTGAAATTAGAAATGCCTAACTTCGAAAATCATATCCTGCGTCATAATGTTGATTGGTTAGAAATATTTATTTGTTTTTTCACCTAACTCTGTAAATTAACAAATTACAGTTTTAAAAAAAATCCCAAAAAACACCCTTTTATATTTAATAGAACCTAGTTGTAACTTAACCTTTTAGTCGCCAAATCTGGAAATGGAATCCGAAATTAGTCGCCAGATGCGTGATAGGATCTGAAAATGGAAAATCGTTAATCCTGGTGATCCTGATCAGGACAATGGAAAAAATTATTAAATTATTGTATTGACATCGGTCCTTGACAAGTGTCCAAAATTTCTAATTAATCTGACCTTTTAAAGTGGATAAAAATTGAGTTCAAAGATTCTGTTACATACAAGTGAAGCTTTAAAAAGGGTGTTAAAAACAAGCAAAGAAAAATTATCTTAATATTCACAATTAATTGTTAAAATTAATTTCAATTCCATATATGCTACATCACTCACAATTTAAATTTTAAACATTAAATTTCTTCAGATATCATTTAATGGTGGATTCGAAAAACTGATATAATGAAGAAAAAGGCCACGGTTACAATTATTGAACAGAAATCACTGAACAATGAAAATACATAATAGATTAGGAATACATTATAGTTCACACTAACATTAGTGAAAAGTTCAATATTTTCGTCTGTTTTCATCATTTTATAAGCAAATAAGTACATTTCAAAATATACTGTAGCTTGTGCCTATGAATTAATCTTTAAGCGAAAGCTAATTTGTATTATAAAAAGTGTTGTAATAACAAATTTCTGTGGGATCGGAGAAATAATTTATTACTCATACATATCAAATGTAGGTTTTTTAATGTTTAAAAAAATTGTCTTAATGAAAAATGTAATTATAATTTTCCAAGGTCGTTGTTATTTTTGGTTAAGACAATAAAGACTGCAATATACATTGGAACAAACATTATTTAATTACCTTTACGTTCCATAGCACAAGAGGACACAAAACATACATAAAACACCAGAACACATTACAGCATCTTGCAAAGGAGAAACAGTGAAGTACGTTTAACGTTAAAATGCTTAAGACGAAATATCGGTTAACATAATAATACAACGGTCCCCACTAGCTACTACGTATTTTAATGCATTTTTCTATTCCTGCTACATTTCCTCTGTGTGTGTGTGTGTGTGTGTGTGTGTGTGTGTGTGTGTGTTGTGTGTGTGTGTGTGTGTGTGTGTGTGTGTGTGTGTGTGTGTGGTGTGTGTGTGTGTGTGTGTGTGTGTGTGTGTGTGTGTGTGTGTGTGTGTGTTTTTTGTGTGTGTGTTGTGTGTGTGTGTGTTGTGTGTGTGTGTGTGTGTGTGTGTGTGTGTGTGTGTGTGTCCATTCAAGTTCAAATACATTTTAGCGCGTTTTTCACGTAGTGGAACAAAAGAGCTATTAGGATGCAAATTTCGTCTTCGTTCCATATTTTGTCGTACCATTTTTTCTCAGCCAATAAGCAACCAATTGACCTCGGGTTTTCGGTGTTTGGTCGCATCTGTGCCCTAGATGAGCCGAATCATATTTAAATTTTCTAATAGTTTTCCCGAATTTTCCTACAAATTTTCCTGAATTTTGCTAGTTTATAATAAAAAAATTCTCAAATTTTACCTAGTAAATTTATTGTTTGCAAAAAGTATTTTTAAAAAAAAATCTACCTGCATTTCGGAGGAAATCTTCACAAACAATACACACTACTTTCTGTTAGTAAAAAATTCATTAGTTGCATTATTGTAAAATACATGTGAAAAACGCGCTAAAATTACTTGACCATGCCAATGATTGATATCTTGTATAAACTTGTAGTGGATGACACTTGATGTTAATACAGTTTTTTTCAAATGTTATTTCACTAATTAAATTAAAAAATTAATAAATGGTAACACACAAAATTAAAAGCCCAGTAACATATATAGAAGGGGATATCGATCCTTATATAGCGCAATTGAGAGCACTTTGGACTTCTAATCCAAAGGTCGTGGGTTCAAATCCCACTTGGATGGCCTAATTTCTGAGAATGTGATTTCTTTTTTACTATAGAATAATTAAATTTAATTGATGAATAAATATAGTAAAAAACAAAGAAAATAGTTCAACACCATGTACAAAAAGGAAAATGGAGAATCGCTTTCTATTTTGTCACTTAATATTGTGATTCGGTCATATGTACATACATATTTATATTAATTGTAACTATTTAATAAAAAGTAACTAAAATAAAAAATTTCTTTGTTGACCTAAGCAGGAATTGACTTTAAAAAAAATTTTATATTACTGGTTTTTTTCTTGTAACACGAAACGAAAATTGCTCTTAACATGAAAAGATTTTTCTTCTGTGAATGAAGAAATTACGAAAAACACCAGACACTTAATGGAATGCTTGAGAAAGTTTCTGTATTGACTGTTCTATTGTATCTTCGGAAAAATTTATTTCAGTAGATAATGATAATGGGTGTACAGTCCCCATTTTATAGCAGAAAAAAACGTTTTGAAGTTTGTTCAAACCTCAAAAAAATATCATTGATGCAGATTCTGGTGAAAAGAAGGAAATGAATAATGCTGCTCCTGTTCCCACGTCATCCAAAATGAGGAACGTCATGAAAAGTATGCACAGTTATTTAGACGCACATTCCCATAGTGAAATTAATAACAACATGGATAAAAGTGAATAATTTGTTTACAATTGGATACTAAAAAGGGGAAAATCCAAAGAAAAATATCAGATTATTTTCCAAAAACTCAAAAAATGTTTTGTTTTTCAAAAAACTTGAAAATTTTATTTTAAATTTCATTAAATTCTCGTGAATGTTTTTCTTTCGTTGATTTTTATTAAATCCATGCATATATTGTCACGATTTCGTTTAAATGAAATAAATGTCTACTTCCAATTTACGAATTTACCGTTTATTATTAATTTTCTTAAAACCACACCACACTATTTACAATTATAAAAATTACATAGGAAAACTGTCGGCATTTTCTTCGCCACGTGCATACACACCACGTTTCTTCTTCTGCCCCTTCCACTCAATGGCCAACAAACCAGTTCTACAGCCATTCCACCAGTTCTTCGTCTTCATATATAGGGCGCTACGTGCCAAGCCTCCAGTCAAGTTTGACTGCGCTACATGCCAAGCCTTCACACTAGTCAGTCAAGCTTTTACAGTAATCAGTCAATCCTTTACAATATATGCATCTATGTAAATAAAAAATACTCTAATAAATTTAATTTTGTTGAATATATGTTTTTTTACAATATCCTTTAATACGAAATTCTTTTAACACAAAAAATGTTTCAGCCCCCCTCAGTTTCGTGTTAAATGATTTTTACTGTTCAATTCCTTACCAAGTGCGCGGGCAATCTTATTCGAACTCCTACTTCGAAATAAAGAATTTCCACCAAAAGAACAAGTACCACTATCTGGCTGTCACTTAATAGTAAAGAAAAAAGAATGGCTTTAAATATACAGTGTTACACAATTAATTCGATTAAAAAAATTGTATTCATATCAAAGAAAAAAGCGATTTTCCAATCAAAGTCAAAAGTAGGGCAAAAATACATTAAATTGGCCCTGGAAAATTCATAATTGAATTAAAAAATTAACGTTCTAAGAAACAAACGAATTGTGTATTTTTCATGCCTGTGTCGAAAATAATTCGATAAAAATTTCCTTCAAAATTCTGAGAAAGAAATTTTAAAATAGAACTGAGATTTTTTCATTTATTAAGTACTTATTTGGGTTTACAGCAGGTTTATCAAAAAAAAAATATTATTTATAACCTTATTTAAACATCACAGTTTTCAAAATATACTACTCATATAGCATAGTTCTAATATATTCGTTTGGATAAAATTTTTAAATAAAAATTTGGGGAATTTAATATTTTTTTTGACAATATTTTTAAGAGAAAAATAAGCGTTTCACTAAACGATTCATAAAAGCGATATCCATATCGAAGTAGTATACTTGCCAACACACACAAAAAGTTTTGGTAAGAAAGAAAATATTCACTTTTTATATCCTAACATATTCCCCTTTTAAAACAAGGACGCATATAAAAGAAAAAACTTTTTCAAAACAGAAAAAAGTAATGTACATGGATATTTCTTACAGTATATTTTTTGTTTTGATTTATTTCCTAGTCCTTATGAGATTCGCGAGTAGAAAGTTCCTTGGTGTTATATAATTGAAGTAGCTTTGATGTTGGGTTTCCTTTTATCTCTAAATGATTTGATTTCCTGTAGAAATAACTCAGAGCGATCAAGAAGAATAGTTGTATAATAGAAGTAAATTGGTTTCTAAAAGTTTTGCTTCAATTCGTTTTTTTACCCATACAGTAAAAGGAATGAAAGTAAATATTATGGTTTAGGGAGTAATCATCAATAACTTCAATAAAAACTCATATGAAATGTTGCTATATCCACCTCTATTTTTTATAGAATAGGATCCTTATATATAATAGTGGAAAGAAATCATGACTATCCTTCTTTTGTTATTTATGCGGAATTTGTTAAGTTAAGTTAAGTTAAGTTAAGTTAAGTTAAGTTAAGTTGTTAAGTTAAGTTAAGTTGTTAAGAAGTTAAGTTGTTAATTGGTTTATCTGGAAAGTATGTGTCATTTTTGGTAGGTGGCGTAAGGACACATCTGAATATATTTAATACGATTGAGAGAAAACTGCATTCTAAAACACAACACTTAAAGGTTTTTTTGAAAAATATTTGATTGTGTTGTGGTAATTGGTGCTGGCAGTTTTACACAGCCTGAATATGGGTGCCAAAAAGTGTTACAAAGCAAAGCAATGTCAACAAAGAAAATGCTTTTCGTTTGCTGGAAAGATCAAAATGGCACACAAGCTGCAAACAAGATATGCAAGTCCTGTAGCTGCAAGAACTGAGAGGAAGTAGTTTGTGCTAGATTTAAAACTAGACATTTCAACCCTTAAGATATCAAGAACACCCCCAAATAGTCATTTTACCGCAGATGTAGTGCAGATTAAAACACTGATAGAAAATAATGTTATAAATACCAAAATCTATCATTCATAAGCATTTTGTGAAGCTTAGCTACGCAAACCATTTAAATATACGGATTCCCACGACATAATAGGGGAAAATTTCATAGATCTCATTTTCATTTGTGACTCACACTATAAACGCAATGAAGAGACGCCGCTTTTTGAAGCAAATAGTGACAGAGAGTAGTAATTTATAGTAATGTGGAGTGAAAAAATATCTTATGAAAAATTGAAGGAGCCATCTTTAGCCACTCCAAAAGTCATCTTTATGCGAAGAAAGATTTGCTCTGTGTTTGGTAGGATTGGAAAGTATTTAAAATAATTCTCCATCCTTTTCCTTAACATCAAGACGATAAATTTAGTAAAGTATTGTTCCTAATTAGACAAATTAAAGACATCAATTGAACAATGACCTCTAGAAATAGAAGGGCGCCATGTTTCAGTAAGATAATGCGTGGCCTCATTGGTCTTGGACAACTCAACAAAAGTTGTTGGAGTTCGGTTAAATTGTTTTAATCCATCCACCATATTCATCAGACCTCGCACCTTCTGAATTTTTTCTTATTTTGATCAGTATAAAATTATCTTATTGGAAAAGGCTTCAATTGCTTGGAAGAGAAAAAAACAGGTGGTAAGATTTTTGCTAAAAAAAAACTAAGAAATTCTTGAAGGACGGAATTTTTAAGTTACCTGAAAGAAGGGCACAAAGGTTGTAAAATAGAGAATGGCACTTATATAATTTAATAAATGCATACTAGAATTTTAATCTTTCGCAATTAAATTTTTCTACAAATTGGCATGAACTTCACGGACAACTCAATATTATTGGCCCTTTTAAGAGAGAAAGCAATGTGGTAAGAAAATTCCAGGTTCAAATTAAATCTGAAAATTCAGAATCAAAAAGTCTTGTTCCAGGTTGTCCTCTAGTTACTCTATTACCAAGATCGTTTTCTACCCCTTTAAGTTTGAAGGAAACTACTATGCCTCAATTCATTTCTGATCAACCAAAGAAACGGCAATACGTGAGCAGATATCTTTAGAAACAAATATTTTATACAAGGTGGTCACCTGTATATGTTCCTCTTAATAGAGGACACAGAAGTATTCGCGCGCGCTTTTGTAGGACAAGAGAGTACGTTACCTGGACCTGACAGCAATGAGATCTTTTGTACTTTTCATAAAGGATTTCTTCTGATTTATTTTGAAGGGCGATTTGGGTCATGTACTAAGATGACGAGAACAAGGCATCGGATATAATCAATCTAATTTTTTTAAAAAGCATGATAAAAAACATTCCTTATTAAATTTTATTTAGTTTTTTTACAAAGATTTTGTTTTTATTTTTTCATTAATCAATGGAGTTTTGCAAAATGTGTGTATTATTTTTCAATTCCTACTATTAGTTCACAATCTCCCTATATTTTTTTCAAATTTTCAATCGTAATAAAATACATTTTAAAGCGCTCAATTGAGCTGAAAATTTATGTACACGATTATTTTGGATAACAATATAGCAAATTAATTAAAAATTTATTGATTAAAACTAATTATTCAAATAATTACAGATACAGCCACGTTGGCATCATTTTTAGCTACTTAGCGACCATTTTGGCGACTTGTGTCAGAACTTGAAAAGGTTTCTCACATTTTAAAGCACTCATTTTAGCTGAAATTTTCCATACACGATTGTTTTGGGTGACAATTCAATAATTTAATTATAATTAATTGACTGAAACTAATTATTTAAAGAATTATAGATACAGCCACATTGGCTTCGTTTTTAGCAACTTAGGTCAAAACTTTTAAGAAGATTTTTTTTTCTCACGTTTCAAATCATTGAGTTGAAATGAAATTGTACATACATGATTGTTTTGGATGACAATATGATACTTTATGATAATTAATAAAAATTAATTTCCATTTAAAATTGGGACTGTCATATGTATATACATATTTATATTAATGATAATTATTTGATAAAAAAT